CTTTCAAGTGATTTTGTTCGCTTGTTCTTGAGGAATGTACCAATTATAGAGCCTCTGCAAAGAGCTGTGCTCTTCAAGAAGACCACTCTGTACAAAAAGTACAGGCTGGTGCTTTTATGGTTAATTTTAGAGAACTGGACTAGATGTGTATGTATTGTTATAATGCATATACAGTGGGGTTTCTTTCCCCTAATTTTTACAAATTCTAGCTAGAGTAGTTTAAAGGTTTTATTTTGTTGTTCTTCAGATTAAAAAAAAAGTGTGAGCAGAAATCAGTACAGTATCTGTTTTCAGATCTCTTAAACACTTAGAAATTTGCTCAGTGCAAACACGTGGGCCTTGAGTAGCCTAATATTTGCATTCAAAATTGTAAGAATTAGTGAACAGAATATTAGCAGGCTTCAGATGTTAGAAATAATAAAAGAAACCAACTAACTAACTAGTTAGGATGGGAGATTGTAGGATAGGATACGATGACAGTAATTGGTTGAAAAAGGCAGACTAAATCTGTTTTACCTTCACAAGATCAAGAAAATAAAACTCAGAATGTGGGTAGCAGTCCCCCCAGTGGCATGCAGCTTATTCAGTTTGGTGTAGTGTGACATGTATGATTTTCTACATATAAGACATTTTATTCGGTCAGCCACAAAGAGCACAACTCTAGAGAAAGAAGAACTCACCATGAGGAATTGAATCTCTTAAATGAGACTATGAGTGAAATATGAGACCTGCTTTGTAACTGGTGTGATAATATCCTCTTGTACCAAGAATGGTCCTGCAATAAAGGAATTCCTTTCAGGATAGAAGGGAGCAGGTACTGATAGTCAGAAGTTTTCTTTCATCCTGTCATCATAAAACAGATGGCTAAACTTTGGCCATTGTGATGCCCCTTTTAAACACTTAATCTGTTTACGTAAGTGTCTTTCTTGCAGGAGCCTAAAGCAAGACACAGCCACACATGCCATCTCAGAAGTGCTGAGTTGAATTAATTCTGTAAATTGATTACTGTCTCCTGCCTATACAGCTAGCATCTAGTTAGCTTTCACCACAAAGTCATGTCACTGCTAATGTTTGTCATATTGGTTCAAAGGACAGAATTTTTTTTCTGCGAAGCTGCTTTTGAGCCAATTGGTCTTGTAGCATGTCCTCTTTCAAAGTTTTGCTAAGGGGACTTTGCCTTAAGTGAACCTCATGAAGTTCCCATCAGCAATTTTTTTTCTTCCTGTGAAATCTCAGTGAGCAGTGGTCCAGCTCTCTACTGAGCTCTCAGTTGCTTCCCTCAGAGTTATATAATTTATGAACTTGCTATGAGACGCTCTAGCATAACTTTGAGGTTGTTAATAAAGACAGTAAGCAATATTGGCTCTATAATGGATCCCTGAGGAAAGCTTATAATTGCTAGCTACCAGTTGTACTCCATGTGACAGGTCATCACCTCTTCAACCTAACAGTTCAGCCAGTTTTACAGACACCTTAGCTAATTTTCAATTCAGATCTCAAATCTTTGGCAATAACGAGATGAGAGACCATCTCAAATACCTTGCCAAATTAAAGGTATATGCCTCCTCTCCCTTCATTCTTACAGCCGGTCATGTCTTATGTCAAATGTAGTGAGGTTGGTAAAGATTTTTCCATGGTAAATGTGTGCTAGTTGGTTTCAGTCACCTTGTCTATTAAGTGACTGGACATTATTTCCAGGATGATTTGCTCTGTGACTTTGCTAGGGAAAGAAGGAAGGCCTTTATTGGGTTTATGTAACTTGTTTGTTTGTTTTAATTTAAATAATACCAGAAGGGAGTGGACCAAATCAATTGGCCTAGGGATGCTCACTGTCCAGAAAGGAAACCGTAAAGGAAATGAAACAACTAATCAAAAAAATCTTCAAACCCTGAACACTAGAGCAAGCAGTAAAGAAACATTTGTTGGAGACTGTTAAGAGAGATATTGTAGCTGAAACCCACCTGAAATATGTGCTACAGTTTGAAAAAGTTAAGATAAAATAGTTCCAAACCATCCCCTGCCCCCAAAGAGTCTTAAGGAGCTCTCTAGAGACTGCAGAAGTTTTTATGGCTCTTACATGGAAAAGGTCAGCATTTAAAACTTAAGTTTGCATTGCTGAGAAACAGGTAGGACCAGTAAACAGAGACAGGACAAATGCAGGTGGGAAGTTGAGAAGCCTAAAAAGGCTTTTGAAGACTGGTTTTCAAAGCTTAAGCTATTACAGTAAAATTTTGTTTAAATAGAGTGAAAAAGATAACAATAAGGAAGTTCACAGGTTTGCTGAATGATAACAGTGTAAAATGACATATTGCGTTTTCAAGGCCTAAAAGAACAGTCTTTTCCTTGGTCAGTATTTCATATTAAATGATTGTTAAGATGTCTTTCAACGCAAACCATGCTGTGATTGTATGTTTCTATGCTAAATGAAAGATGAAGATGCCAACAACTTGTGTATGCTTTGCAGCAGATAGATCAAAGGCATTAGACCTATTTGAAGTATCTGTACTCTACTTGATGAGGTCAGGTAGAGTAGTTGCTTGTAAATATATTGAAGTTAATATTCTTCACTCATGGAGGTGTGAAGAAACTGAAGTATGAAATTACTCTAACCTAACTGTTAACAGCCAATGGACTGGCAGGTTGCCACTATAACTTCCATCTACAGAATGGGCTCCAGAGGGAGCTGCAGTAACGTGGCTGACTCCATACTTTGAAGATGGTAGTCAGTCTTTTGGAAAAAGAAGGTGAAAGGGAGAAAGTAAAAAAAAAAAACAAACCAAAACAACACAACCGAAAAAAAAGCACGGTAAAGAGAACTATCACTAAGCACAAATCAACACACTTTTATTGGGGAAGCATTAATGTCGCTCCTGTAAAGTAAAATCCTGCTTCATTAACCTGCTGGAATTGCAGAAGGGTGACAACAACTGTGTGGTAACAGTAATCCTATCTGTATTTTTTCAATTGCCTTTAACAAAGCTCCACATGAAAGGTTGTAAAGAATTTTGTTTTGCTCTGGAGGAAAGGTCCTTTTAGCAATGGGAACCAGTTAAAGCAGGAGAAATAAAGAGTAGTGCTTATGTGCCACTTCCAGGATGAAAAATTGGAATCACACTGCACAAACTGTTAGGCTTCTAGTCTTTCTTGAGTAGCATTTGCTTTTGCCTCTGTGGGAGGCATAGTACTGCTGATGGTTGGACTTGGCACTGGCTAACCCATGTGGGCATTTATAACTGAAGCCAGTCATTGGCTTGGGTGGGTTGAATCTTGTATTGCACATAGAAGTTTTTGGTTTGGACTTAACTAAAATTTTTCCATCTTAGATGTATCATAAGTTCAGTTGGAGATTATTTCATATACAAATTAATATATTTGGAGGCACTTCAGTTATTCTGACTATGAACTTCCCCTTAATTGTTTAATATAATTGGTTTACTTCTGCATGTCTTTCATCAGCTGAAAGAAAAAAGATATGTGTAGAAGTTCACTCTTAAAAATAGTGTACAATCACTATTGCATGTCAATTAGTGTCCAGAGAGGCAGTATATATATATATGTTCATAAACATATATACTGTGTTCATTCAAATAATGATTTTAAAGTTGAAAAGCAACTGATTCAGAAGATAGAGGTTCAGGCAGGAACCATGTCATGTTGATTTCAATCTTTAATTACATAAGGTTTTTTCAAGGAAATATTTTGCCATTCAGTGCAAAAAGCTAACATGCTGTGAAGACTTAAGACAGTGTGAAGACAAAAGCTACTGTCATCTGTGTAACAGAAGCTGATGATGACTAAGTTTTGGAGTATGAAAGAACAGCAAAGAAAATCAACCTGTGAAGGCAGATGAGTGATCCCAAAAATAGCTGGATTTCTTACGTGTCATGCAAAGCAAGTTACTTTAACTTTTCATGTTTATAATTTTCTCTGTAAGTTGTTTTACAGCTGAGTCAGAGGTGCGCTTGACTTACAATGTGCTTTAATGTACTGTGTGTACCAAAAGACTTCTTTTTTTAAGTTCTTTTCTTAAGTTGGCAAATATTTTGGCCAGATTTTTTTTTTGTGCCTTATTTCGGAGGGCAAAGTAGGGAAAAGCATAAATTTCCTCTGAAGGAGGTGCTGCTGTTTGTAGTACAAGTGAAATAAGTGAAAATACTAACAGTCAAACTTTAACAACAGTGACAGAATAATGTGTATTTGTGCATGAAATGCATTTTTATTTTAAGCAGAAGCTGCCTATTAAATGACTGTGCTCTGTTCTGTGTATTGTATGATCTTTGGCTGAAACAAGGGGGGTTTTATTGCTGGAATAGTGTACAGCTATATAGATAGATAATGTGTCAGAAATCACAAGTATAAATAAAGAATTTAAATAATGTCTTTCTTTCTAATATTTTCCAATTTGACTTTGAAACTTTAGTATTGCTATCCTGGCAACTTTATTTGTATGTAATTTTATTAAATTGAAAAAGAGTAATTCAATTTATTGTGCAGAGCTCAGCTGGTTAATATTACAGAATAAACTATGGTAGTAATATGGTAGTCCATCAGGGCTGGAAAATGGGAGGAATGATTTTGTTAATAAGTTTATTGAATAGTTGCTAGATCATAAGACATATCTTCACAAGTTTGGCTGGCAGTTCCCCTGAGACAGAGTGTTTATCTACCTCTTAAAAGGATTCTACCTCTTACTGGTCTTCTTTTAATCTCAAATGTTTTCTTGCCTAAAAAAGATGGGCTGAAACTTCTTAGTGTATGTTACAATCAGCATTGTGTCTGAATTTTGGAAATGCAGATGATTTACATACTCTAAAAAGCTGTTGTACAAAGGACTCCTTATGTTTGAAGTAATGCTAAGTGTTGTCAAATTAGAACTAATGCCTGGATGTTGACAACTTTATTCCCAGTAATACATTGGTATGGGTTTGGATTAATTTTTGAAATTATTTTAGTGGCATCTGTGTGATTGTACCTATTTTTTTTTATTTCCCCTTTTGTAGACTGAATCTTGAGGATGAATTGGATCAGATGAAAATACAACAATCTGTGAGTAAGTTCACAATACAGGAACTATGCTTACAGCAAAAAAGGAAGGGTATAGTATTTTATATCTGTGTATGTAGTTCAAGTGGGTTGAGCCTGGCTGGATGCCAGGCAGGTACCAAAGCCTCTCTATCAATTTCCTCCATAGTTGGTCAGGGAAGAGAAAATATAATGGAGGGTTCATGGGCTGAGATAAGGATAGAGAGAGATCACTCACCAAGCACTGTCATGGGCAAAACAGACACAGCTTGGGAATATTAATTGAATTTATTACTAAAAAATCAAAGGAGAAGTAAAAACAGATATTAAAACCACCTTCTTCTCATCCCTCCCTCCTTCCCAGCTCTACCTGCTTCCCCCCAGTAGTGCATGGAGACAGGGAATGGGGGTTATGGTCAGTTCATCACACGTTCTTTTTCCCACTGCTCGGGAAGGGGACTCCTTCCCTTGTTCCAGTGTGGGGTGTCTCCCATGGGAGACAGTGCTCCATTAACTTCTCCAGTGTGAAAAGTCCATGGGTAAGTGGGACTTACCCATCCCATGGATAAGTCCTCCACAGACTGCTGCAGCATGGGTCACTCTTCCACGGGGTAGAGTCCTTCAAGGACAGGCTGCTCCAGCCTGGGTCCCCCATGGATCACAGGAAATCTGCTCCCAGGAAATCTGCTCTGGTGTGGACTCCTCTCCCCGGGCCTGCAGGTCCCTGCCAGGAGCCTGCTCCAGCACAGGCTTCCCACAGGGCTCCAGCCTCCTGTCAGGCACTCCCTGCTCAGGTGTGGGTCTCCTGCACAGGCTTTAGGTGGATCTCTGCATCCCTGTGATCCTCCATGGGCCGCAGCTGCTTCACCATGGTCTGCACCATGGGCTGCAGGGGAACCTCAGCTCCAGCACCTGATGGAGCACCTCCTGCCCCTCCTTCTGCACTGACCTTGGTGTCTGCAGAGTTGTTCCTCTCACGTGTTCTCTCTCTGCTCTTCTCTGGCCACAATTATGTCTGCCCAATCACTTTTTTTTCCTTCTTATTTATGTTACCATGTTACTGTCAACTCTGATTTGGGCCAACCTTGGTCAGCGGTGGGTCCAGCATGTAGCTGCCAGCAACTGGCTCTGCTGGACATGGAAGAAGCTTCTGGCAGCCTCTCACAGAAGCCACACCTGTAGGCCCTCCTGCTACCAAAACCTGGCCACTCAAACCCAGTACAGTAGTCTGTCAGAATACTAATTATTTACATAAGGTTATTTTCTCTCCAAAGATTCATTTCCTTTTCATGACTGTGTATTTTGTAATGATATGGCCATACATATGATTTGAAAGCATATTTGCTCATTAGTTTTCTACATGTCTATTCAGTCTGACCATTTATATGAATAGATACACATTATACATTTGCAACTAATATGTCTATTCTACCTATTTATGAAATATAGTGAAATTTCATGCTTATTCAGACCTCTCTTATAATTCTAGTCTCACAAAGTATCTGAATTTGAAAGTAAATCAAAATGCTGAAATTGTAAGAATTGATCATAAGTATCTTCTTTTCTATCTTTATAATTTTATAATAGTTGATGGTTCTGTGAAGATGAGTCTTTGTTAGTCAGATGGGTAATATATTACCACTGCCTCTCTATCACTCCTCTGATTCTGTGTATTATGAGCTGCTCCTGAATAGTCTGGGAGAAATATTCAAGAGTGCATAACTACAGTCCATCTGGATATTGCATCTGTGGTGAATTCTTTATGCTTCTTTATTCTTTATTGTGCAAAGGAAGTAAGTAGGAGACTTGGAGAAGTACTCTACCCATTCTTAGCAATAAAGCTTTACCATTCTTTATTGCAGTTTTCTCCTGGTGGCTGTTTTCTATTTTTTGTGATAATGTTGACCACTTGAATGAAAAAAATATAGCTTTTTTCCTTAACTTTAAAATTGTGTCTTTAAAATTAGGCAGGAATATCAAGCTGCTGAAAACTGAAAGTTACCTTTTTCGTTTTTAATACTTCTTTCGTGTTGTGTTCATAGCCACAGAATTGAAGGTTTAAATGCTGACTTTAAGAAGCACTTCTTTGTTTTTTTCCAGTTGAGTTAGTGTTTGCAGAAAGAGAAGGGGAAAGATAACCAGTGGTGAGAAGGAGTTAAGGGCCTGCTCAGCAATACCTGGACTTTTCCAAAAAACAGTCCAATCTCCAGAGCTGCCAGTTCTTGACATGTTTAGTGCTTTAACAATTAGTATTTTATTTCTTTTTTTTTTTTCATTTTCTTTTCAGGTAACTATATGCTCTTTTAAAAATTTGTGGGTGAATGCACACTTCTGATTTGGTAATTAGTATAATGATTAGCTATTCTTTTGTGGGGACTAAGAAAAATGTTTAAACTACTTGTAAAGTGTTCTAGGAAAATTTTATTTACCTTTTCCAGTTTGTGTTGTTATGGATATCATTTAATGAAAAGGAAATGTCTAATAAGATTCAAGTCCAAAGATATGTATCAACAAAACTTTCCTGTTAGCACAGAAGACTGAGATTATTCTAGCTGTTTCCAAATTTTTACCAATTGAAGTGTAAGGAAATAGTTGCTCACAAGGTCTCTAAAAAGTAATTTCCTTATTGTTCCCCTTGAAAATCAAAAGGAGTTGCAGTCGTGACACATGTACTATTTGAGATTTTCTAGAAAGTTGCACCATAATGAGTGAAGCTGGATGTCCATCTTTGAGCATAAATTAGTGTAATGTTAAAAATCCTTGCTTATGTTCTCAGGAAGTGCATGTCTTCTGCCTTAAAAAGGGGGTTAAATGCCTTCTTCCTAAATAAAAATAAAACCTCATATCAATAATTTGTTTGGAGTCCAAACTTGATATCGTCTAAATACAGTTCATTCATAATTTCAGTATGTTGTATTTTATAAAAGGAAACCTGATGTCAGTTTCCTCAGTTTATCAGTGATGCTGGAATTCACTTTCACCTCAGCAGATAGATACCTGTTTTCATCAGGCATTCTAAAATCAAGGGATAAAATCTGTAAAAAGAGACAGAGCTTTCCTGTATTAAAATTTTCTGTCTTTATTGGATATCACTTGTGTTTGTCAGGAAGAAGTAATGAATAGTTTTGTTGTCCTTCCATACAACTTTTCAAATCCTCAAATCCTGGTCAAAGATGAAGTAGGTCAAGGGAAAAGAAAATTCTGTTCCTGCCATTCCCAATTTCTTTCCATTCTTATTCTGTTGCCCAATTATTTACTGGTAGTCATCAAATACACTGCTATTCGTGCTGTTCGTGCTATTCATGTCCTTATTTGTTTAAGAAGGTAAAGGATGTGTTGGCAGGTAGTCATGCCATTTCCTCCAAAAGCAGGAGAGTGGACCCATCAAATCCTATTCAGAAAAATAGCAAATGCCTTCTTTAAAAGCAGTAAACTGTTGGCCTGGTCTTTCTCCAAGGAGGCAGTTTGAAGGCTTCTTTTATTATGAGACTCCTGAATATACTGTGTCCTCAGTATATGTATCCCTAGGAGTGGCATTTCCTTCTGGTCTTCACCCTGGTGTTTCCCACCAGAAGTTTCTTTCTACCCAGGAACATGAGTGCCTACCACTGAAATCAGTAACACAATATCTTTGTGCACCATGGAGCCTTTTTTTATTAGGGAAATACTTCACCTGGTGTGTACTGTAGGCAAAAATGTCAGTCCTTTGATGGTTTGTATAGTTTCTTTGTAAATGATTATTACAGTGCTCTATTGTGTACTTTTTTTTTTTTTTAAAGGGGGGGTTTTTTTCTTTGTGTAAGCAGGCTTTCTGCAAATACTGTACTGTACTGTAGTTTCATAGTTCAAGTACCATTTTGGCAGCAGTGTTGAACTAAGTTGTCATCAGATTTGGTGACTATTAATTAGGAATTGTTTTACGTTCTAAGGCTAAGAGTTAACTATGTTTTCTCAGCGGGATGTAACTGTGCTTATGTAAGACCATGGTAATTTGTTGACTGAAGATAGCTGGCTTTATGACTTGTGGGTCTATTCCTTGAGGGAGATGTTATTTTTTTATGTAGAAATATGACAAGTAGAGCATGTCTTGCTGAGTAGACTGATATGATATATCTTTCTGCTGTTCTAGACAGACAGTTACAGGTGATGCTCTTTCACTGCCTCCCTAACCAATTCCTATGAACAATTACATAACAATTAGAAGGGAGGAGAGAAAAAGGGGCTTGAATGGGCCGTATATTTTCTGCTCAATAGAAAGGGTTAAGTTTCAGTGACCTTTGGCTACACTTCAATTTATGTTGCTTGTATCTTCTTTGATAATATTGAACATGTATAGTCTTTTCTGTTTCTTTTGCAGTGGTATTCTTTATTATCTGCATATAATATGTCTATTTATAGAGTTTTAAATTGCATTTTAATACATCCACATAATAAACATAACACCTTGTGTGCTTTGATCAGTTTTTTTGACTATGGGAAATAATTTTTCTTTTCAGTGGAGTACAGTAAATGCTGATATAAAAGCTACAACAGGCATTCAAATGAGTGAATATTTAGAAAAAGATGAAAAGCATGTTCGTATTATCTTTGTGTGTTACTTAAAGAATGTTCTAAATGTATGCAGTACCACTGTGCTGGGGGACTGTAGTCTGAAGTAACATGGGAACTAACATATTAATATCAAGGTAAAGGTACATATTCCCCAGATGCATAGTTTTACCTTTTTCAGCTTTTATTATCTTTAGAATAGTGTTCCATTTATTTCATGAATACAGAAGTATTAATTGGCCATGACATGTTCCAAAGACAAAAGAAAGGTCTAATTCACTCTAACAAACTTGTTAGTCACTGTTTATATCAAGAGGATTGTGAATCTACAGAGAGTAACACTGTTTTCTTCTACACTTGCTTTGTTTATAAATCAAAAAGTTTTTAAGTGACCTGCAATGTCTGCTTGTAGTTTAAAATGTTACTTATAAAGCAGACCTCCACCATGTAGCACAGATATTTATCCCTTAAGATTAATTCTTTAAGTTCATTTGGGGGAAAGAAGGACCAAAAAAGAAATACTAATATTGTGGTTCTTTTAGAGTATTGGGATTTTTTTGTTCTGTAATGCAGTATTTCATATTCTAAGATGAAATCCTTCTGATGTGTGTAATTGCTCATTTCTATGAGCAGTGGGCAATTTGTGAATGCTAAGCTCAGATTGACCATATATATTGGTACTTCTAAACATTTTTTTAATGAATAAGTCTAATTTTTAACTTGGGATTTTTAGTATCTAAAGTGTATAGCTGTCTCTGACAGTGATGCTTAGATATGTTTCAGTTGTCATTAGCTGTATCAATTTCTAATTGTTATGGTTTCACAGTATTTCAGTAGAATGATTTGTGTGATTTATCTCGTGAAGTACATGATCTTTAACTTAACAAAAACCAGGGTTTAAAGTTTTCATCCATCCTAATTCAGTTACTGTTTGCTTTGTTCACCAATCACTCTGATCCTCCTAGCAGGGGACAAGACCTAGAGAACAAAACTGATAGTGACTGTGTAGATAAAACGGCAATGAATTCTGCTTTTAAGGCATAGAGGGAATAGTCTGTAAAAGAATAAAAATTGGAATGAAAGTACAGTGTCTTTAACCTGCAGATCTATTGTACCTTTGAAAAGCTTGTACTCAGAAAAAAAACATACTGTGATGCTACAGAGATTCATAATTATGTGACAGAACACTTTGAAGAGAGGTCACTTTAGAAACTGACCAAAAAGCTTGTCAAGAAAATAGACCACATTATAAATAATTAGAGAAGTAAAGAATGCATTTCCTTAAAATGTCTGTGGATTGTTTTAGTGAAATACTAGGTGTCATTATGTATTTTACTTATTGTATGATAGAGATGTGTCATTTATTTTCTGATCAAGTCACTTTTTAAACTTAGTGAGGATGATGGGGTCAAGGGTAATACTCCAAAGAGGTATATGAGAGAAGTTTCACATGAGATGCTACAGAAGGTAAGATACCAACCCCAACAAACAGATCTAAATTTTAATATAAGAATTATATATATATTTATGTATGTATGTATGTGTAAATGTCAGTACTCATTAATTTAAGACGTCATTTTCCTTCAAAATTTAAAAACATGGCTTTCTGGAATTTTGCTCTGAAATTAATTCTAGGGAAATAGCTGTGAATGTTATGTAAGATAAACATGGGTAATGTCAGAAAAAATGAAAAGAGTGTTTAGGGGTGTAATGTTAAAAGCTAACAGATTATCTAAATTGTAAGTAGCATTTTGTCCCTTAACTTCGAATTTTGCCCCTTAACTTTGGGAACCTTAATTTTTTTGCTGGGTATTTAACTTTAGATGATATCAGGTGTTAATCTCCAAAGAGCTCCTCTACATAATAGAACTGATGCATAATAATGATAATTTCACTGTATGTTGTATTTAAATTTTAGCACAATGTTTCATGTGCAAATATGTGTATGTGGGTCTATTACTCTTTTTACAAGATAGTACTATATGCGTGCAGTGTTCTCTAGCTCAACAAATAATGGTAAGTATTTTATCTTTACTGCTTAACATTCTACAGATTTTGCCTCATACAGTAACGGGATGTTCTTAACTAGTTGATATTTGTATTGATATTTGTAATATACACAAGTAGTTTACTGTGTTAACAGGTGTTCACTTAAGAGGGCTCACTTGTATTTTACCATATGTTTTGTTTGCTTGCAAAGAAAAGGCATCCTTCAAACGGTATCATGCCTTTTGTTTGTCATTTTGCAAAACTATTTGTTTAATTACTTATAAATCTTTAAAAGCATGCTTAAATTGAATAAACACAAATCTATAACTTTGAATGTCAGTTCAGGTATGTCTATTTATTTTTTATCTGTGAATTAACTTGTAGGAAGTATGGTAATTTACAGCAGATGATGTGATTGCATATACTTGTAACGCTTGCCATATGGTCAGGCAATGAAGGCTGTCATCTCGTTATTACTGAATGACAAACATCATGTTAAAATAATAACACACAGAATAGGAAGTGCTCACATTCATTTATCTTAAGGTAGAGTGAGTAATTGAAATAATATGAATACTACCATCTGAAATGTCACAGTTTATGCTTGCTTATCATCTATATTTCAGAACTATAATTTTGTTTGCCAGGTACTGCATAATTTTTATCCCTATGGATATACAGAATTATGATGGTACCTTAGGGATAGGTGTAGAAGCTATTTATTGTTTATTTCCTTCCAGCTGTCATACATGACTTTAAGTGCTACTGAGTGCAAAAGGTTCCTTTAAAGAACTGAGAAAATAGTAGCTAAATCTCAGTTTAGGCAGGTGATTGAAGAAAGATATTGGTCTAACACATTGTCATAGGGGTGGAAAGTGCAAACTATGATTTTAATTATAACACTTTGTTTCACTAAAGCATTTGAAAAAAAATCCCTTATATTTCTAATTTCACCCATTAACTTTATGTAGCCATAATGTATTGTCTCTTCATATTAAAGATTTCCTATCAAACTCACGAATTCAGTATCCAATTCACAAATGCATATGAAGTTTGAGCAGCTCTTGTCCTAATTTGCCTAAGAGCTCCCATTTATCTGAATCATATCTGTAGTACCCACTTTGTACAACATTTCATAAATTTTAAAATAATTTAAGTGTTGGCAAAACATTGCTGTAAAAACCTAAAAGTAAAAACTTACAGAAATAATATGGTTTCAGTATTTTCAGTGTCAAAGATAATTTTGACATTTTGTATTGCTACAAATTGTGGGAACTGGCCAGTATTTTACAAGGTTGGGAGTTCAAGTTAGCCATGCACATGCTAGTATAGCTCCTGGAAAAACGGTCTTTCCTAACAATGTACAGAGAAACCCAGAATCCCTGACATATTTCTTAGTGAAAGAGTGGGGATTGAGCTTGTACAAAACCATCCAAAAATATTTCTCCAGGTATTGGAGTAAGTGGTTACTGAGCACAAATCTTCCTCTGATGTCCTTTCCAGGCTTCTGGGGATGTCTCACAGACTAATAATCACATTAGCATCTGCTAAAATAAAATTGCCCCTTATTTCTGGAAATTGTCCTTTATGTGGATAGTCCAGAACATCACAGAGAGTCAGTTTATTGTTAATAGACTTCAATATCCATAAACCTCAAAGTACTTTAGAAGCAAAACGTAGGTTGAATAGTGTCTTCTTCAAAATTTATGTGAGGAACTTGGAAAATTAGTCTCTTAATTGAAACACAGTAGATTTTTCCTTTCTGTAAATAGAAAACACATACTAGCTTCCATATTTTTAGGTGCTGAGTTGCTGATATCTCTTGCTAGAATTTGTTTGGGGTTTTTTGAAAGATCAAATTAATATTTTATTTCTGTGTTTATGACACTTGAAAGAACTTGTTGCTTCAGATAGCTAGTACAAAATTATCTATATTTCAAAGTAGTAATCCTTCTGAAAATGTTTTTTTAAAATTCAATTAGTATGTATAACAAAATCAGTAATGAGCTCAATATGCATCAGGAAGATTCATTAGCATGGCATACTTAAACTTCTGTGTCATTTTGCCTGGAAATTTAAGTTCTTTTACCATCTGCCCTTTGTTCAACAGCTGTATTATTGCAGCTAAGATGTTTTAGTCTGCACTACTTTAAAATTATTTTAAATTTAAGGACTACAGATAGCTTTTGTCCTTGCTCTTCGTGTGATATTATGGTCATATAATAAATATATCTGAAAACATAGTTTGGAGTTATTCAAGACAGGCTGAAATATTGTAAATGCTAAAATTGCTTATTTTAGGTACAACAACTAGAAAGAAGATTCAAAACTATTGAAGGGGAATTAAAGAAACAGAAAGAAGTAAATAAAGACTTACTGAATGAGAAAATGTATTTGAAAGAATCTTGGAAAGTGCAAAAGGAAGCTGCAGACACAAGAAAAAGAGAGCTGGAAACACTACATAAGAGGATTTGTGAGGTAAAAAAAGAAAAAGCAGAACTTCAGTTCTTGATTGATGAGAAGGAAAAAGAAGCTGCCTCTTTGAAGAGGTAAGTGACAGAAGCTAACAGGTTGAGAAATGAAAGTGAAGATTTGCTGAGTCAAGTGCAGGAACAGAAGTGTTTGCTGGATAAAGCCAAAGCAGTGGCAATCTCTGGGCAATGTAATTGCAAGATAACAGGCACCAAGGTTAAATTAAAAACAGCCAAGAAAAAGAGCTCTTTGGGACATCATGGAGCTTTTCTCAAACAGTCCATCAAGGTTATGAGTAATGTGTTTGAGAACTTCAGTAAGGACGGCTGGGAGGATGTGAGTGAAAGCAGGTACGGCTCTCATTAACTTAGCCCTGTAGAGGGGACACTGTGCATATGTAAAGCACTAGCAAATGGAGATTGAATTTCAACTACTGTTGATTTGGTATTCAAAAAAAATACTGTCAGATCCTTTGAAATATCTTGGGAGGTCTTGTTCGGAGCTTATTGACTGAAATTTGCATGCGAAATTAGCCACAACTGCATGAGTATTTGAATAGGTGCCAGGAAACCCAAAAGAAGGCAATGCTTGATTTCTTCCAGTGATGCTATTTTCATGCAGTCATGAGGCTTGAAATTGACAGTTTGGCAGGTTGATTTAATTTGCTGGCCTTTTGCATATTCACCACTGACAGCTAAGGATTCCCAGGCAAGCCTAGTAAGTCGGTTTAGTTATCTTGTGACATGCCGACCCGGGAGGAGAAACATTTTTTCCCCTTAATTTAGTTAGATAAATTTTGAATGACCCATTTCAGCTTGCTAGCAGATGTCTACAAGCTGTTTAACATCCTTTAAATTAAGAACCATCCACACTAATTATTTCCTGTATGTTTTATGCAGTCATTGTACTAACTTTAATTGAATGATGGTTAAAAATCTTTAAAGGTGATGGTTACCACATACAATCCCAGTCATGAATCAAAAGGCTCTCAGAAAATTCCACTGGCAAACATCATATAAACAATGAGAATTTTTGCTTCTCTTTATTATATACTTGAGGAGGCAGCAGTTAGCCACTAGGTAAATGGCTATCACACCTTGTCTTTCAGGACATTGTTCTAAGAGGCGAGCAAAGAAATTTCTCAAGCCTGTATGTATCCAAGATACAAGAAATATGGGAAAAGAGTAAAGAAAATAGAATTGTCTTCATAGGCTTTATACTCTGTGTGTCATGTGGAGCAAATGAATAGTGGCAAATGAAGCCTTTCTACTACTTCTCTCCATTCAAAATAAGAGGTTCCTGAACACAGTATCTCAAGGGAGAAAACAAATTAAGAACCATGTAATTAGTCAGTTGTTATCACTAATGTAAAGCTTGGGGTTTTTTTATGTATAATTAAATATTGCAGATCTGATTTTAATAAAAAACATACATGTTTGCACATATGGAAACATATATGCATGTTGTAATTGGTGAGTATTTAATTTGCTGTGTTGTTCTCTTTAAGAAAAAAATTGAGCAAGCACATTGTCATTCCACTTTTAGTTTGAAATGAAAAGTATTTGCATAGCTTCACTTGTGGCTAGCCATAAATACTGCTTTTAATAATTGTACAAATGTTGGGTTAGGGAATTCTTGTCGTAGAACAGTGAACATTGTTGAAGTTTCAAGATGTCATTCTCAACAACTTAGGGAACTATCCTAATTTAGTTTCCTCTGCTGCTTTTCAATAAATACCATTCTTTATTACTAGTAGCTGGCTCTCAGTTTTTAAATGCAAGCCTTCCATTTTCTAAATAGGGCATTCCTTAAAGCAGGTGAGGGAAATGTGTATGTAGTTAGAAATATCTCTGTGGCTGTACAACAGTTCTCATCAATCAGTGAGACATACCAATGTGTCAGGACAGGTTTTAAAAAGTATAAACATGTTTATGTGTGGACTCCTCATCAGTTTGAGGCCTTTTCTCTGGTTATGTAAACTGCACCTCTAAAACATGGATTTTTATGATGGTGTAGCTTAACTTGAACTCAGCTGTGCTGTTTTAAATACCTTGGTTTAAAAAGTAACAAATCAAGCTAGCCTTCTGTTTAGGGATCCCTTCACAAATCCACTCACACAAATGATGTATAGCCCCTGATGTTATAGAAGAGGATATATCCAAGACTTCACGTTTTAAAGTAGACTTCCCTGAATATAAGAAAGCAAATTATAACGTGGGGTAAGGCAGTGAAATACTGTAAATTAGGAGCACATTGAGTGCTATTCTAAGGAAAAATTGTAAGAAGATTTAAAGTTTCAGGTCCAGTTTCTCTACATGGCAGGAATCTCAGTGAAAGGAATAACAGGTTTGCAGAATATAAGAGCATTCCAAAGGGGTGCTAAATAGAGCTTTCCCTGAAGTGTGATTTCTGAGTTTGTCTCAGTCAACAATATAAATAAAGTTCAATTGAAACAAAATGTTATTAAGGATTGTGTATTTACTTGTTATATAATAACATGTGAAAATGAAGGAAAGTAGAAATGTAGTAGTTTATGAGCTGTTCACATACTAGAAGTACAATAAAGTATTTTTTCATTTGTTTCATTATTGAAATATTTAATCATTCAATATTTAATCAAATATTTCCTTATTTCACTTCTGTGGATTGTCACAAAAGTTGTCTTTTAGAAGCAGCTGAAGTCTCAGGCCTCTGCATTGTAGAGTGACATTGCATTTGACAGAGTAGAACTTGATAAAATAATTTCAGAGATAGATTTTTGCTTTATTGTATTTGTAAAGTTTATTTCTGTGTGCTTATGCATTAACGCTGGAGCGTTTAATATTTACCTTTTGGGGTGTTTTTAGGGTTTTTGTTTGTTTGTTTTGGTTTTTGGTTGTTGTTTAGGGGTTTTTTTTTGTTTGTTTGGGTTTTTTTTTTTTTGTTTTGTTTGTTTGTATTTTGTTTTCCTGCATGTGCTCCTATAGTGACTCTGAAATATCAACTTCTGAAAGTTTGGAAACAGTGATTATGAAGACAGTCCAAAACATTGATCCCCTGCCAGACAGAAGTAAACAAGAAGAAAAAAAGCCCTGCAGTGTCCTTCATTTAGAAATCCAAAATGAGCAATATAATAAAAAGGTATATATTGTTTTATTCACGTGGGTGAACTTTTGGAGTTTAATATTAGCACTGCTGTGCACTCTTAATCAATTTGACTCTCAATATAGAAGTGAAAACCTATTTCCAGATATTCAGTGGGTGGATTCATTATATTTTAGAATATTTTCTGAGCAGTAAGTCTGCTGTCATGGATTCACCCTGAATAGATGGCAGGCATCCACCTCTTGTTCACCCCCCCTCAGCAGCTAGACAGGGGAGAGAAAATGCAACAGAGGGTTTCTGGGCTGAGATAGGGATAGAGAGAGATCACTCACCAAGCACCGTCATGGGCAAAACAAACTTGAATTAGACATATACATTTAATTTTTTACTAACAAAATCAAAGGAAGATAATGAGAAACAAAAGACCTTAAAAAGAGCTTCCCCCGCTCCTCCCTCCTTTCCAGCTCTACCTGCTTCCCCCCAGCAGCTCATGGAGACAGGGAATGGGGATTATGGTCAGTTCATCACATGTTCTTTCTCCCACTGCTCAGGAAGGGGACTCCTTCCCTTGTTCCAGTGTGGGGTGTCTCCCACAGGAGACAGTGCTCCATTAACTTCTCCAGTGTGAAAAGTCCATGGGTAAGTGGGACTTACCCATCCCATGGATAAGTCCTCCACAGACTGCTGCAGCATGGGTCACTCTTCCACGGGGTAGAGTCCTTCAAGGACAGTCTGCTCCAGCCTGGGTCCCCCATGGATCACAGGAAATCTGCTCCCAGGAAATCTGCTCTGGTGTGGACTCCTCTCCCCGGGCCTGCAGGTCCCTGCCAGGAGCCTGCTCCAGCACAGGCTTCCCACAGGGCTCCAGCCTCCTGTCAGGCACCCCCCTGCTCAGGTGTGGGTCTCCTGCACAGGCTTTAGGTGGATCTCTGCATCCCTGTGATCCTCCATGGGCCGCAGCTGCTTCACCATGGTCTGCACCATGGGCTGCAGGGGAACCTCAGCTCCAGCACCTGATGGAGCACCTCCTGCCCCTCCTTCTGCACTGACCTTGGTGTCTGCAGAGTTGTTCCTCTCACGTGTTCTCTCTCTGCTCTTCTCTGGCCACAATTATGTCTGCCCAATCACTTTTTTCCTTCTTAATTGTGTTATCATAGAGATGCTATAATTTCTATTTGGCCCATGGTGTGTCCATCATGTAGCTGCCAGCGACTGGCTCTGCTGGACATGGAAGAAGCTTCTGGCAGCCTCTCACAGAAGCCACACCTGTAGCTCCCCCCCTAGCAAAACCTGGCTGTACAAACCAAATATACCTATAAAACTATTTGGGCAGGAATGTAAAAGATTATTTAAAAATGTAAAGTTGCTATACAAGCTAGTGGTGCTGTCTCATAGTCCAGACAAAGAATGCCACAGACATCCCATTAAACTTTCTGTCAGTCAGAAGCACCATACAGAGCAGGCTGATATAACCCATAACAGGGGGATAGCAACACCCCTCTCTACCTCCCTTCTAGCCAAATGGTGTGCTGACTAATCAAGCATAAATGTCTCTCAGTTCGTTTGTGGTGCACTGGACAAGTTTCTCCATCTTAGAAAGATACTTTTGACTCTCTCTGTGTCCAGAATATTCTGTCTTGAGAAAAGTATGCTTTTAGCCTCTTCTTAGCCTATTTACATGGATTGTCTGGGATTTGAACTACTTGTCTCATTGCTAACATCTATATGCTGTTCTCTCACAGAAGAGGGCCAGCTGGTTGTGTCCCAGGTCTTAAGAGGCTCCCTACAATCTGTAACAGATGACTCATTCTTGGACTTTTTAACAGTGCCTAATAGATTTTCCCTCCTATTTTTATCCAAATAAATTACTTAATGGAATTTTAAGCTTAAGCAGATATTATTATTTCTTAGTTTAAGAAACAGAACACTGAAACACTGAACAACTTGCTGCTTTTAGATAACTAGTTTGAAATTCAGTATTTTGAATGATGACAGAGTTTGAAAAAAGATTATATTTCCTTAGTTTCCAAAATTTTAGTGCAAATGCTGACTCTGTGGTCTTGTTACATATTCTTGATGGTGTTATTTCATCAATACTTTTTGATCAAATAAACTGAAAAAAAAGGAAAATTCTTACCCATTAATCTGTTGGTAACAACATAGTATGATTGGTTGCATATGCTATGTATGAAGATCTGATAAAAGTGTGCTGCTCCTGTTAATCTCCTTCTACTCCTGAGTGAGGACATACAAGGCAGGGAACCCAGGATGCTGTCCTCTCTTGCTTGGTAGTATGGCACAGCCACTACAATTTCTGTAGGGCCTGTATTACATTTACTCTCTGTTCCTAGTGGAGAAGATAGATACGTTCTGGTAGACATTTGTAACAGACTGGTGGAACTGAAGCGGACTCAGGAAGTGTCTGGAGAGCCCTAAGTGGTTAAATGTACTTCAGTAGAATCCCCTATTGCAGGAAACAATAGGATTTGAAAACATGGTTTATGAGTGTGAAAGAAAGTATTGCACAAATCTTTAGCATTAGCAGTTGGGAGCACCAGTTTTAACAGAATTCTTTAATCCATCCAGAGGATGTAAGGACCCTGCTGGTGTGTATTCTCATACAAAGAGAGGCTGAAGATATCTCTAAAGTCTTGAGCTGTGCAAGGGGTTGGAGATGAGACCATATATGATACAAGGACTTGGTCATATTTTCTCCACATGGGAGGAATAACTAACACCCTGTGCAGTATCAGCAGAGTTACTGTAACTCTCTTAAAACTCATACATTTATTAGAGCTGTGGCTTAGAGTGGAGATCTCAGTCTTTTTGCTGCAGATGTGGATTGTTTGCTTGTCATCTGCTGAGAGCTCAGTTCTTGGTCTTTCAAATTGTGTGGTGATTGTATTTATCTAGAATTCATGGCTAATTTATCCTGCAATGTCAGTAGCTTGTTCAGTGCAATTAGCAGAGAATGTGATGGTCTTTACTCTTTTAAATTTGCTTAACGGCTATTTTAGATACGAATATTCCCAGAATTATGTTGCATGACATGACCAAGAAATTGAAATCTGAAAACTTAAAAAACTGGAGAAATATTGCAGTCTTCCTGATCAAAAGTGTTTACATATATACTGAGCATTTAATACCTATTAAATTGGTACACAAACCCACTGACAGGCTGTTGCAAGATTTGCTTGTTTGAATTTGTATGTGTATTTTCAGATATTTAGCTCATTATTTTAAGGTGAAATTCTCACATAATAAATGACTGTCAAACAGCATCTTTTACAGTTAAAGTAAGTTTTTACCAAGTCCCTCCTAGTGAATCTGCTGACTGATAGGAGGTTTTTCATTACCTTTTGTTCATGTTTGCCCCTTGTACCCAGCATAGCCAATGAAACAAATTAAATATGTTTTGGTTTAGACCTTAAAAAAAACCCCAGCCTGTTAACAAGACACTGAAGCCTTTATTTTTTATAAACTTAATCAGAAATTCAAGACACATGTAACTTTCAAGTCCTTGTTGATTTTGCATTGTTGCCACTTAAGAAAAAGCACAACATGGAGTGTTTATATGTTGATTGTTTTATATGTTTTATGTTTTTATAGGTCAGCTGTTAATTTACCAGTATGTTTACTGAGAAATATTTTAGAAATTGCAGGAGTGTTTTGAAGTGCCAAAACAAAATCATAAATCATGTTACGTATTATGATTTTGTTCATTTAGTAGTATGCCATTTTATGTTCAGTGTAGTGAGCAAAAGGGAGAAATAGCAGTATTCAGAAACTGGGCTGCTCTGTTACTCTACTGCAGGAAAAAATCAAGCCACTGTAGAAGCAGGTAGCTGTTGTACAGAGTTAAAAAAAAGACCACAGTGGCTTCCATTAAAAATGTTAAACAAGCCAATGACAAATTAACAGGTCAGCTACATTTGCCTGATCAGAGACTTCAAGTCTCAACTGACCATAGAGGTAAAGTACTTTTCATTATACTGTCTTACAATGTTCACTTTCATTCTAGTGCAATTCTGTGAAATTTTGATAACACTGATTTTTTGTATTTTAATTTATTGTAGTCAAAATTATGAGATATTATATATTACCATGCTTTATGTGGGCCACTTATTATGTACAGATGATATTGAGGCTAGTGTATCAACACAGTTAATTTATCCTTTTGAAAATAAAGTGGTCTTTGTGCTGATTCATGTATTCAAATGAATGAGGTAAGTTTCACTTTTAGCCTATGATCTGCAAACCTTCCTGAGAATCTGATCAGTCCAGAACTAGTACATTTTCTTCTGTGAAGAACAGGCGCTGTCTCCATACACCCCAAGACAACTAGAGTTTTCTTCCGAAGGAGACTCAGACCTGTTCCATATCTATTTAATCCGATCTTTTTCTTTTAAGGTGAAAAGCCAAAAAACAAAGTTTGTGGAAAGAGAGACTAGTATTTAGTTAACAACCCAAGGACACAAACTTTCTTCTTTGCTTCAGTCTTCATTTCTTCTTAATCCTTTTCCATGCTATTACTCCTTTCTGTTTTTCCCCATTCTCATGTATATATGTATTTTGTGTTAATCTATATGCAACTCCTCAGCTGGAATTCTTTTCTGTTCATACTGTAGTGATTGGCCTGCCCTTTATAGAGCTGAATCAACAAACACTTATGCAGTAATTGTCTCCTGTTGGTCACACACACATCCTGCTTCCAGAATTATAGTGCTACAACAGATGGACTTGCTGGAAGGAGGCAGACATTAAAAAAGAAATCAAATCCCCTCCCCCTCAAACTTCTCTGTGTTTTTATCTTTGCACAGAAGGCAGAAGCAGTATCAGGAGCAGCACTTTTCACTTTCTTAGGACTAGGGAACTGCTAATTTCTAGAGGAGGGAAAACTTCATTTCTGTTACTCATTTTGCATAACTATGTATGTGTAATGAATTGTTTAAAAAGAGTTTCCAAGATCGTTGGAACCAATGAAGATCTACCTATCTCACGAACGGTACCGTAATATAAAGTTTCATGGACAGTATAAACTTAAGAGGGAACTATATGTGTAATTTAGCGAAAATATTCTGATTTCTCAGACGTCTTCATGATTTACCTTCCTAAAAGACTACTCCTTAGGTGTCTGTTGAAGAGCAATGTGAGAAATGTAATAGAATATGCTGTTATCAGGGAACTGTTAAACCAAAAAAAAAAAGAAAAGGGGGGGACAAAATTTATGTAAAAATAAGAGCTGCTGTAACAGAAAAGACTGAGTAAAATAAAAATAGCATGACTTTAAAACCAAACTGGTTTTCTATCACTCAGTTTTTATGGAAGGTTTAAAAAAATACCTTTTTTTAAAAAAAAAGACACCTTTTTTTTAAAAAAAGAGGTCGCTGGTCTATTTAAAGGGTGGTGCATTCTAAGCAAAAATAAATAGAGGGTGTTTCGGGTACTCAAGGAAAAAATCTTTATTAGGCATGCACATTTTTTTTCCTTCTCAGCAAATGATTCAAATTCCCTTTCTTACAACTAATTACTCTTCAGGTGCCATACTAGTACTACCATGTGGGAAATTTAAAGCAGAGGCTTGGGCTACTTGCCAAGTGAAAATTAAGGAGGTAAAGAACCTACACAGTCACTGCAGGGTACACTCATGTTTTAGAGAGAGAACCCTGATTCCGACAGATCTGATGTTTCTATAGTACACACTTGTGTGGGGGACTTTGGGTTGGTTTTGTTGTTTTTGGGGGTTTTTTTTGTAAGAAATACTATATAGAAGTGAATTTTTAAGACACTGCAAGGGAAATAATGTTTGCTGAGGTTTTTTGTTAATGCTTTTGTTACTTTAGATTTTAGAATTTTCTTGAGAGGTAGAAGGTAAAAAACAAGCAGTCAAACCATGGAAAAAAAAATATTGACACGATCTCTGGATTTGGAGAAAATCTTAAATACTTCAAGAGTGCCAAAATTACTAATATCCAAAAATAATCATCTACAGTTAACTGCCATAACCATAAAGTTCTGGGTAAACTTACCTTAATAGTGAACTTTTGGTCCTAGGCTAAGGTAAGTTTAGCAGTCTAGCAACTGTTAACATCATGGCTGGTACAAGATGCCATTTTGCCTGGATTTATCTAAGAAAATAAATCCTTTAGCAGACAAGGACAGATGTTTATGCAGTCAGTCCTTCATTTTAGTCCCCAGGGACTCTAGAAGATCAACTCTAGATTTAAGATTTAAATGTTCCAGATGTTCATTTTGAGACAGATTTTGCAGTTCATGCAACCTAAGGACTGTCTAGTATCTGTTGATTTTTCAGAACATATACATGCATGGTTTTGTGTATTTTTCTTGAAAAATCCACCCAGGCATGTATGTAGATGTATATTTGTCTGATCTTAAGGATTTAAATTCTGGTTTTGTTTGGCCTTATAAGTGCTTTGCAGTAACATAGATATCTGGCTTTGTTTGATTTCTGCAAAAGCAATTCCTTGCATATTTAAAAAAAATGGCTGTGAAGTGACTGCACATGTGAGAATCAACACTTGCATTCTCCAAGGATTCACATTAACACTGAGTCAAGACCATCTGTACAAGAAGTACAGTAGTTACATTTTGTTATTGGTGTATAGAAATCACAGCTGGAGCAAATAGTTAATGCAGAAGCCATGGTATTTGTTATTTTCTTAGTTTCTAAGAAAAGCATTTAAAAGAAATTGTTGGAAAAATTCAGGATATTTTCTCTAAGGTTTAGTATTCCCTCTACTAATTTCTATCGTTGAGTACTTATAAGAAGAGTATTTTTATTGCATACAACACAGTAATCATAATTAGGTTTATGCAGTGTCATTCTAGTGGCAAAAATCCAGACAGTGTATTGAATAAGAAATTAAAACCATAAGCGGTTTAAGTCACTAGTGCTTCTCTTATTCGTGTGAAGGCTATTCAAAGGTCTACTGCTCAAATGTACCATATTTTTGCATCTCCAGTGTTTGTCAGGTGATGTCATAGGAAAGCTGCATTTCTTTAGAGAATACTGTGGGCAATTGCAAAGTGCCTGAGTAAGTCTACTTCAGCAGGAAAATTGAATCTCAGAATAAGAACAAGTTGACCAATCAAATGCTGACACATTCTTCGAAAAGGCTAATGTGAAGGTTTAAGTAAAGTTTTTTTTCGGATGCCTTCCTGCAGATATATTGCTACACTTTTGCTGAACTGGGAAGGTGCTTTTAATTTTTTTTATAAGCATATTTTAAATCTGACCCAGACTACACTTTTTTTTTTTCTGACAGCATTTTAAATATACCTCCAAACTTTATTTTAGATATTTGATTTTCACTTTCCTTTGAATTTTAAGGGAACTCTTTTCCCCTGAGATCATAGTTTGTTTATCTAGTAGATTATCTCAAGCATAGAAAGGTATGAGCATAAAAAGTAGAAAAGTAAATTGCTAAAGAAAGCTTTTTATTCTTTAAAGGTTGTGGCTTACTTTACATACTCTCTTGACTATTTTTTATTGCTCAGTGTATCAAAGTATAGGCCAGAGTTCAGTGTTGCATCTGCAAAACCAGTATCACAGCTTCACTTCTCTTATGTACCCAAATAAAAGTAAATCAGACAATTTATTATTATTCAGTTGCAATGAAACAAAGAAGATGATGATAAATTCAGATGCATTGGAAATTATTGACTGAAGTATTATTTTATGCAAAGATCTCACTTAAACTCTGGTTTTCATTAAAGATTTTTCACTCTTTAAAGATGTACTAAAGATGTTTGTGGTTTCCTTAAAGTACATTTTAGGAATAAATTTGAAATTATAAATGAATTTTATTTGTAATCATCCTGCAGTAGCTGAAACTGCTTTTGCAATTTCCTCACATTTTTTTCATTCCAGCAAATGTGTGATTACTTGGACAGATTTGGTGGGTTTCTAGATAAATTCAGTCCAGTTAGAAATGGTTGTAAACCTATCCAGTTATTTCCTGTCAAAACACTTTTATAAATGTCCTCGTTTTATATATTTGAAGTCTCTTACATGGATGTACTCCAGGGTGTTTGTGTATTTTTATTAAGTTCATGAAAAAGATTCTACATTTAATGTCATCTCTTCTAAGTTGAGTATTGGATTTTCTTCTTTCTCTGGTAGCATGAAAAGATATTTCTCATTTTGTACATTAGATAATTTTAATTATATCTACAGAAGATCTGAATGATAAAATTTTATTAACAGTTTTAGAATTACTGAAATTTGGAAGACTTTAAGTTAAGCAAAAATAGTAATTCATAGAAATAAACTTTACATAAAGTTACTGCTATATCAATAGCATGTGCAGGAATTCTCACTTTAATATATATAAGTAGTAAAAGAAAGAAAAAGCAGAGATGCTGATAATAACCACATCAGGTAAAAAATAATCTGATAAGAGTTCAAATTGCTTCTGCTCTGTTGAACAATGTCCCTTTCCATTCTTACACAGCAAAGTTAAGTCTGGAACCTCTTGCTTTTATCTGTCTTAAAAATAAAAACCCTATTTACATCATATTTAACACTTTTCACAAACATGATGCTAAATCATTTCTGCAGCTCTCCATCATTGTCAGAGATTGTAATGAAACAAAGAATTCTTTGAAGCTGTTTAGGCAAAATCTGTTGCCAAAAACATGAGGAGAATCATGATTTCTCTCCCCTTCTTTAGAAGCATATAGATAATCTTGTCCTAACTACTTTTCATAAGAGTAGTTTAGGTTGGTTTACGGGAACTGTAATCTTTGAGCCCAATACTCCAAAAGAAGTAAACAAAGTTTCCCAAAAATATTTCAAATCAGACCAGCAAATTTTCTGTTCTTCTTTTTCTTAAAATACAACAGAAGTTGAAAGGTAAACCAGAAGGGATAAACCTGTGATAAACCAGGATATACCAGGATATACTGCTGACCTTTCCAGAGTTTGCAAATA